TCCTGCATTGCAGGCAGATGCTTTACCCTCTGAGCCACCAGAGAAGCCCAGGGAATCACACATATACATTCATATGAAAATAACAAGGAGTTTTCTCTGCCACACCAACTGTCACTCTGAAAATAGACTTTGGATTCAATGCGTGCATATGTGCTTAGTCGCTTCAGTCATCTCCAACTTTTTGTGATCCTCTGGACTGTTGCCCTCTAGGCTCCGCTGTCCATAGGATTTCCCAGGCAACGATAGTGAAGTAGGTTGCCATGCTCTCCTCGGGGGATCCTCCCAACCCAGGGACTGCACCCACATCTCCTGTATCTTCAGCATTGCAGGCAGATTCTTTACTGCTGAGCCACCAGGGAAGTCCTTTGGATTTGATAACCCTAACGTATTTTTAATGTCACGTGCGCCTCCTCCTGACCTCAAGTAATCTGTGGTGTGCTAAAATGGATCAGAAGCAACAATAGTTGCACATCTATTAACAACATAGCATGTCTCTGGAACTTTCCTAAGCTTATCTGGGATATTAAAGTCAACTGGAGTGCAGAAAACTCCCAGCTGTCATGATCTCATAAGTCAAAATGTTCTTGCCTACAAGGTTTCAGGATCTCACAAACACTAAGCCTCATATATGTGCAGACCATGACGTGAAGATGGTACAATGTGACATGCATCACTAGCAGAAATGAGAGATGGGCAAGGACTAAGCCAGGAAACCACAGATAATTTGATGTAAATGAAAAATTAATTTGCTTAGCCTCCAAACAGTTAAAACTTGCATTTGGGTCTTCTCAGTAGTTGACTTTAAAACTAAGTCAGATCCTACTGCTTTCTAATGCAAAAACGTCCACTTACTTTTTGCCTTACACAGTGTAAAAGTTCAGTCCCCTCCATGGCCTGAGGGCCCCACAGAAGCTCCATGCAGTCTCTTTCCATGACCTTCCTTGACTTCCCTAAGTGCCCACCTCTGGGCTGCTTCCTGAACACAAGCTGGTTGCCAAGTCCAGGCCTTCCCCCTTTATGTTCCCTCCTTGCTGAACAATCTTCTTCCATTTAAGTGAAAGAGCTGCTCCTATCCACTTCAATCTCCACCCAAACATCACACTGTCAGGGACACCTTCCCTGATTTCCCTGCCAACCCTAGACTCCCTACCCCATTCTCTGCCTTCATTTTCTCCCCAGTGCTAATCATTACCTAAGAGATTACACATTTTAATCACGTGTCTCTTGTCTTTCTCTTCCCATCAGAATGCAAATTCATCAGGGCATTGCTTTCTGTCTATTGTGTTCCTACTGTACCCCCAGGATCCATATACAAAACAGGCTTGTGCAAAACAGTCAATAGACATTTGTTAAGCTATTGGAAGAAAGCAATCAGGAAAGGCAGAAGGGGCAGAGGGAGTTCCTAGTTTTTGTGGAATCTGCAAAGTGAAAAAAAAAAACTGAAAATACTCACAATTTTTTAAAAAAATGTACACATACATATAGAAAGGTAGTTTACACAAGTGAACACACAGGCAAGAGATAATGTCAAAATAGAGAAACTAAAGAAACATTTCAGTGTTGTTAAATTGTGGATAGCATTGTTTACTTCTTGACATCTTTATTTCTAAGTTATTGGCAGTGAGACTAATTATTTTTGTACTAAAAATATTTTTAAAAAATAACAGACTATCCCTTCACCTTTAGAATTCTATGCATTGAAAAACCCAGTATTTCTATCAGAGAGAGGTCAACAATGTCCCCTGAACAACACGCAGAGCTCACTAGCTGGTCACCAAAGTTTCGGCAAATGGTTTGTCCTTTGGTTCTTTAAGTCAACAGGATGTAAAGAAGATTTACAGTTTAGTATGTGAGTGCCTCACTTTATTGACAAAGGATATTGTCATCTGCACAGCATATTTAAGGTGGAAACACTCCACCCTACTTGTTTTCATTTTAACATGCAAATAGCAAAAATGTTGCTTAATACCACTCTTAGGCTGAGAAGATATTGCAAGAGTATTTATAAGCTGCTGCTGCTGCTAAGTCGCTTCAGTCATGTCTGACTTGGTTCAACCCCATAGACGGCAGCCCACCAGGCTCCCCTGTCCCTGGGATTCTCCAGGCAAGAACACTGGAGTGGGTTGCCATTGCCTTCTCCAATTTATAAGCTACATACTCACAAATACAATTCAAAAACACACTGGTTTTACACTTCATGCTGAGAAAGACCACAGCACCATAAAAGTTGTTCTTGTCATACTGTTAGATAAAGAAGTGGAAGAAATAAAAGGGAAAAAACTGTTCCTCAGGAGTTTATTTGGATAGTCATTAACTATTATCATCTAACATATATCTAACATTTCAGTGTATCCTTACAGAAATAAAGCAGTAGATTTTTTTTAAAAGGGAAGGGAAGGTGGTAAATCTAATACACATTAGTAATTCAGTAGCATTAATGTGTACAATTTTTCTACTGTATAAAGATATTATCTGAGTAAAAACAAAGAGAAAAAAAAGAACACAATATAGCTTTGTAACTCAATTTCTTTCTCATAAGCTTCGGCCTAATGCTTGGTTAATGAAACCATGAAACAATATTCTCACATCTTTGATTTTATTTCAGCAGTTTCCAGAAAATACAGTAATGGAGAAATATATTTCTATTCAGTGCCTGAAAGTTTAAATTTAGTATGTAGCTCAAATTAATTCTCAATGTTCCATTTTAAGCTTCTACATTAAAAGACTTGCACAAATCTTTTTATTCCTCATATAACCTGCAGTTGGTCTCCATGAACACTGCTGCTTGATTTACAGAGTAGATTTTATTACTGAACTTCAAGCTCTTTGTTAGGGATAAATCATAGTGACTATAACTGCAAAAGATGTTTAATGATTTTTAAAGTCTCTCCAAGAGAAAAAGTCAAGAGTATAAAATACGTTTATTAGATATTATGTTAATTAAGAGTTATATTGCTAAAAGCCATAAGTAAACAAAATAGTTTGGAATTATGGCACGTGCCTTTTGAGAGTTACCACCACACTTCTAAGAGGTTAATGATCATAAATAGAAGCTAAATCAGTTACAAATGGCAATGAAGAAAATATACATTGCGTTTTTTCTGGCCTACGAAGGTGAGACGGTAAGTCACACGGACCAGCATAGCATAGCTGCAAGATTCAAGTTTTCCTGGCAGGTATAGGCTCAGTTGCGGAGATCAGCTGACATGTTATGGCCCATTAACTCTCAAACAGAGGGTGGGAGGGTGGGCTGGGGTTCAGAATCCCTTTGGGGACTATCCAAGCTTCTTTTCTGCAGGTTTCCCTCTGTCCTCTCCCAAGGTCTTGACACATCTTAGGACAGCAATCTTCAAATAGGAAGTACTACTGGCACTTTCTGAATTGTTTAGGGAATGCGAGGGACTTTAAATGAACCAACCACTTTCCAGAATTTTTTGAAAACGGATCCTCCTAAAAACATAACTTTTCTGCCAACATCATCTCCATTGTACTTCATAAGACAAAGGCAAACTTCTCATCCAAACTGAACCTTGCTTTGGTACACTGCTCTGGGGCGTAAACATGTTTCCTTTGTTCTATGTATCAAACAAAGGAAAATGTTTATAAGACTAGTAGCTAGCTATGCAAGAAAGTGAATGACTCACATAGCTAGGTATAAAATTATCAGTTCTTTAAACAAATTGAAGGAACAAACTGTGCTGTCACTGACAGATTATTTAAAATAATTTTGATGATTTACTACTAAGTTGTTTGATATATAATGCAAAGGAGTTGGTGGTAGACTAAATGATAGATACCTACATCTTAATCCCTGGAACCTGTGAACGTTACCTTACATGATAAAAAACAAAAGAAAACAAAGCTTTGCACGTATAATTGATTTAAGGATCTTGAAGTAAAGAGATTACCCTGGGTTATGCTGCATAAACCCTAAGTGCTACTGTTCTGATAAGACAGTGACAGTGGGAGATTGCACATGGACAGAAGAAGACACAGTGTGAGCATGGAGGGAGAGAGCAGAGTGACGCAGCCATAAGCCAAGGCCTGCAGCAGCCACAAGAAGCTAGAAGAGACAAGACAGGAATTCTCTTCGTGAACCTCCAGAAGAAGTTCATCCCTGAAGATACCTTGAATTTAACCCACTGATACTGATTTCAGACTTCTGGCCTTGAGAATGCTAAGGGAATAAACTTCAGTTGTGTTAAGCCACGGAGTTTAAGCTGACTTGTCACAGCAGCCATGGGAAACTAACATAAAATGCTAAGAATCAAATGGCACTGTCCTAACACACTCCTTTCTCATCTACCTACTGTGGGAACATGGTTTTTAACAGCAATATCTGTAAAAATAAGAAAAGGGAGACAAAATTGTTGTTAAAGTCTGTCCCATTCTAGCAGGAGAATGGAAACAGTTTATAAGTTTTTAAAAGGTTTGAGAGGAAAAGCCTCTACAAGTTTATAATACAGAGATGCATTTCCAACTGAAAATAGAATATTTTTTATGTTTATGACTTTCAAATGTGAAGGAATTATTTATTTCTTTAAGAAAAATTTAGGGTATACACTCACATAAAGTTAAACACCACTATGGGTATTTCCCATGGCTGTACTATAATTAATTTAAAATGTAGCTCACATTACAGCATATTTTATTAACCTCTCAAAAATTTTCTTTGTGCTACTAAAAATTTTTATGCAATGTATCTTTCCATCAACTTAGACTCTAAGGTTTAGCTCCCAAATTTCCATAGATCATTATTGAAACAATGAGAGGTGGGAAATTTGCAATATTTCTATCCTTATTTCTATTCTTATTCTTATTACTGCTATTCTAGTGCTACTTCATTTTTCTCTCAATCACCACAACAAAAATTAAAAACAAAGAAAAGGATGATTCGTAACTGTCCTCTGTCTTTCCATAAGTGAAGCAAACCTTTGCCATATGATCAAAATTATAAAGGACAGAAAAGCAATGATATGACCATGATTTTGTGTCCTTACCTAGACCTACATGAGGCAGGTGCTCAAAAAGGGTCCAGCTGTGGTCATCAATGTAATGATTCTTCAGGATCAACAGCTGGCAAACATCTCGGGCAGTTATGTCACTGGGTACCTCTAAAGCTCTGCTGGTTTCATCTTCACTGTATACTTTAATTACCTGTGTAGGTAGAAATTTAAAAAAAAAAGAGCTAGAATAGTCTGTTAAAAATATCACGCTAACAAGTCATTGAACATATTGGTTGAGCTAATTACAAATTCCTCATACAGTCTATTTCACATCTAATTTTCTTATACATGGAGCAAATGGTTGCCCACCCCAGACTTGTTTATAACATGTCAAAGTCACTCTGTCCGACAACTTCCAATCTGTTAAGTGTGTAAACTTCAGGCCATTCAATGACCATTCAATGTCATTTTTCACCACTCTGATCTACTAAAAAGTTATTCATCTCTTATCAACATTTAAAATTTTCCATTCTATATTTTAATCTGTAAATAATCCAAGTAACACAGGTGATTTATTCTCAGATATACACAAGTTGTAATAGCAGCAAAGATTTCTCTATTTCAGCTTATAGGAACTTTGGCAAAGATTGGCTAGATGTTCACAAAATCCTTTTTTATTTTCTGCCTTGCAAGTAGTTGTGTCCACAGGATTGAAATTTGGCCAACAGGATGTAAGTACATGCGATGTGGCACTTACAGGTCTAGTCCCTACAGCTCTCCCACATACTGTCCTCCATTCTTTTAACACCACCTGCTCACTGAATGGAGATGATGACAAAGACCTAAAGAGGACAGCAGAGCTATGGGACAGAAGGAGGCTTTGTCTCTGAACGACCACATAAAAGGTACTCAAGTAGGAATGCCTGCAAGGAACTTTGACAAGAGCAAGAAGTTAACTTTTACTGCTAACTTATTGTGATTTTGTATTTATCTATTACAGCAGCTTATTTCACCCGCAAAACATACAGAATCAGAGAAAGTTTCATATACAGCACTCTCTTCAATATTTACCAAGTTGCGCTACCTGCTAGAATTTCCACTATTAACTATGGCATGTCATTTATAAATTAAATTATTTATGGTTTTTTTTTTTTTTGGTTTTTAAAAGTGAGCACTTTTTTTTTTTTGCTTTTCTCCCCCCCCCCCCCAATTATTTTTATTAGTTGGAGGCTAATTACTTTACAATATTGTAGTGGTTTTTGCCATACATTGACATGAATCAGCCATGGATTTACATGTGTTCCCCATCCTGAACCCCCCTCCCACCTCCCTCCCCATCCCATCCCTCTGGGTCATCCCAGTGCACCAGCCCTGAGCACTTGTCTCATGCATCCAACTTTATGATGAACTAAATACCAACCAGTCCATCCTAAAGGAGATCAGTCCTGGATGTTCACTGGAAGGACTGATGCTGAAGCTGAAACTCCAGTACTTTGGCCACCTCATGCGAAGAGTTGACTCATTGGAAAAGACCCTGATGCTGGGAGGGGTTGGGAGCAGGAGGAGAAGGGGATGACAGAAGATGAGATGGCTGGATGGCATCATCGATTCGATGGGCATGAGTTTGAGTAAACTCTGGGAGTTGGTGATGGACAGGGAGGCCTGGCATGCTGCGATTCATGGGGTTGCAAAGAGTCGGACACGACTGAGTGACTAAACTGAACTGACTGAAATATCTATGAAAGTAGTATAGTAAGATCAACACACACAAATGTCCGGAAGTCATAAGAAAACTCAATATAAGAAATATTCTTGCTATAAAAATGTTGACAGTTAAACATTTTTAGCAATTCAAATAAATGAAAATTAAAATGATGTATCAATTCTCTCCTACTGATTATTTTTCTAATTACATAAAATGACTGGAATGAAACTGTTGCTCTCTTACAATGACAGAGTGTTATAAATTGGTAAAAATATTTTTTACATCTATGGAAAGTATCAAAAGCATTAGAGAGGCTATTTCTTCAACTTAGTAATTTCACTTAGGCAAACCATCTCAGTAAATCTGTCCTAAGTGTGGGGAAAATAGCTTTAGGCATAGACATGTCCTGCAAAGCATTGGATATGTTCTATCAACCTAAATAGTCCACAATAAAAGAGTGGTAAACAATTGTACTTTCACAAAATGCAATATTATAAGGTGCTTAAAAATGTTACTCAAGAAAATGACATAAGAACTTAAAAAAAAAATGCTTAAAATAAGGACACCAAAGTATAAGTTATGCACAGTCTTATTGGCTGGATTGGCTACCGGGTACCGACTCCTCATCTAACTGCATTCTGATTGGCTTTCAGAGAACCACTGCCTCCCTCACCATCAGTCTCTGTGATGCTGGCAGCTCTAACTTCAGCTCAGCGACAGAGCAGTGGAGCTGCTGGAACTTGCTCGTCACAGTTGACTGTTAAACATTCAGGAACTTGGCCAGCCAGGCATCCTGAAATCAGCCATGGTGGGAGAATGTATACTGAAGAATTTGGCAAATGCTACAAATAGGTCTTTTTTAAAGAAAAATTTTTTAGCGCCAGTTTACCACTGCATGATTGCCTCAGCTCCACAGAGAATATATTATCTAGATGGATCAATCAACGCCCAGAGTTTCCCTGGCAACAATGACTATTTCAGAGATGGGGGCATGACCTAATCAGAGCTGATCAGGGCCAATCTGGACATCATAAAGTGGGTCTTCTTTTCCATTGGGCAGGGGTAGGTGTGGCTGCTACTGTTCACAAAGAGAAAGACTGTGGAAAAATAGGATCCCACATGGAACAAATCACACCAAGAGATGAAAAGAGTTCTGAGAATAACCCTGCACCCTTGGACCAAGGAACTTTTGAAGTCTTTGTGTTTTAATAATATGTGTGCTATGAGGCTGTACACTTCTAGTGGTAATATCCACCTACTTATCTCCGTTGTTCTAGCCATAGACCTTCTCTAACTCCTCCACACTGCTAGAGGAATAAACTTTCTAATAGCCGATCATATCAGGTCATTCTTCTAAAATTCTTCAGGGCCTCTTCATTGTCCTAACCCAAGTAGCTCATTGTGCAAAGTCCCCATGCAAAGTGCACATCCTCTGCTAAGTGTTTTAATATAAGACTGGCTTCCTAGGTGGTTCAGTGGTAAAGAATCCGCCTGTCAATGCAGAAGACACAGGAAATGTGCGCTCAATTCCTGGGTCAGGAAGATCCCCTGGAGAAGGAAATGGCAACCCACTCCAGTATTCTCACTTGGAAAATCCCATGGACAGAGGAGCCTCGCAGGTCCATGCGGTCGCAAAGAATTGGACACGACTGAGCGAGCATGCACATGTATGCCAGTGAAAGAGTTGGCTGTTGCCCTCAGAGAGCTGAAGCATAGTGGGGAAAGCAATATTTAAAACAATAATTAGAAAGTAGGACATAAAAATGCAGTATGTTACTCAGTCATCAAATGGGTGTTAGGAGAAGCCCAAAAGACATCCCTGGGAAAGTGATATTCAGGCTAAGACCTGAAGGAGGAGTGGACAGTAGCTCGGCAAAAAAAGGGTAAGAGCATTTCAGGATAAGGGAAGTGAAGTCAGGCAAAGTCCCTGGGGCAGAAAGAAACCTGGCAGGTTCTAATGATTAACAGAGTCAGGGGTGGCAGGATCAGCAAACAGAGAGCATGGTCCTAAGGAAACAAGTCGTAAACATGATGGTTGTAAGAGGGGTGTAAGACCTTAAGTTCAGAATTGACTTAAGAATCACTGAGCTTATAGGTGGTAAACAAACTTGTGGACGTGGATATATATCAGACAAGGGAGAAAAGGAAGAAGCATGAGGAAAAAAAAAGAATCTAGGGCTGAACCCTGAGAAATTCCCATATTTAATGGCGAGTTAGAGGCAAGAAAAGTCTGAAAGATGAAGTGAAACAGAGAACCAGGGAGGTGGGGCCCCAGGGAATGAGGCCCACACTCTAGCACACGGACAGCATGTGTGTGTGTGCTTGGTCATTCAGTCGTGTCTGACTCCTTGCAATCGCGTAGACTGCGGCCCGTCAGGCTCCTCTGTCCATGGAATTCTCCAAGAAAGAATACTAGAATGGGTTGCCATTTCCTTCTCCGGGGAATCTTCCCGACCCAGGGATCAAACCTGCATCTCCTGCGCTAGCAGGCAGATTCTGTACCACTAAGCCACCTGGGAAGCCCCTCACAGCATGTGTACCCCCAGCAAGTCAGCCTATGGAACAGGTCACTCTGACCATAGACAAATATGATATACATTTGCTACTCCTTCCACTTGCTCATGAGGTATCCTCTACTTGAAACCTTTGCTTCAACCACCAACAACATGCTTTATTTGCCAAATACCTACTTATCATTTGGCTCCAATTTCAATAGTACTTCCTCCAGAAAGTCTTCCTGACTGCCCTTGGCTTTGTAATGTGCCCCTTTCAGTGCTCTTATTTTATAATTTTCTATTTGAATATCTTTCTCCCCAACTCTACTAGTAAGCTCCTTTAAGGAAAATCTCTATTTACTCACCATTTGACATGATATCCCAGGGACTAAGCCCAAGTAAATGTATGGCTTAATAAAGATCTTTGGAACAAATGAACTTTGTACCCATGCAAAATGTTTTGTACATAATACTCAATGCATATTTGTAAATTTTAATTTAGAAAAAATTTTCTGTTGCAAAAGTACAAATTGATCAAATTTTAATGCTCAGGAAATTAAAATTGTTCTATTTTTCTCATAAATAATCCTAGGTAAGAACTGACAATATTGCCATCAGCAGTCAGTTCTGAGTTTTGGAGTCACTGAGGCAGCTATAAGGTCATTTAATATCAGAAAAACTAAGAAATAAAAATCTGGAGACACTGCTAAAATCAGATGAAGTGTCTGAGCCCTCAATTCAATGCTTTTACTTTAGGGTTAAGATGTGTGGCTCACTAAGATCCCAAGATCTATTTGGAATTTCAGTGTTTCCTGAGATTGCAGCTGGAAGGCTATTGTTCTTATGCCTGTGTCTTCATTGCCTTCAGACAAATCTCAGTGCCAGACAATTGCTGAGGTGCTAAGAGATGCCGCCCGCCATGCTGCTGCGGTCAAGCACTGGTGGGAGCATTTGCCAAAAGCAACATGAAGATGACCAATCCTGAGAGGACAAAAAGCTCTGACTTGGATC